ACCTGTCTGAATGCAAGGTTCCGTCCCAATGGAAAACCAGCAGGACCGTACTACTGTTCAAGAAGGGAGACATCCATGACATTGGCAACTATCGCCCGATCTGCCTATTGTCTGTCATCTACAAGTTGTTCACTCAAGTCATCCTAAATAGGATTGGCAGAACACTAGATGAAGGACAACCATGCGAGCAAGCCAGGTTCCACAAAGGATTCAGCACCGTCGACCATATCCACATGATAACCAAGCTCATTGAGGTTTCTCGGGAGTTCAAGATGCCGCTCTGTTTAACGTTCATTGATTTAAAGAAGGCCTTTGATTCTGTTGAGATGGAAGCGGTCATTGAAGCCCTAGCCAATCAGGGCATTCAAACCCAATACATCAGGATCCTCCGTGAGCTGTATTGCGGATTCACTACCAGGATCTCACCATTCTACAAAGAAGTGATCGTTGATGTTAAGAGAGGGGTGCGGCAGGGTGATACCATTTCACCGAAACTCTTCAGTGCCACCCTCGAGAACATCATGCGGCAACTGGAATGGGAAGGAATGGGAGTGAAGATAGATGGTCGGCAACTACACCACCTCTGCTTTGCTGATACATTGTTTTAATAACACCAAACATCAGCCAAGCGGCACAAATGCTGGCCGACTTTGACCGTGAGTGTGGAAAGGTAGGACTACAGCTGAATCTCACGAAGACAATGTTTATGAGAAACAGCCTTGTTCCTGATGCCCCATTCGCTCTCAATGGAACGACCATCTCCGAATGCAACAGCTATGTGTACCTAGGTTGAGAGGTCAACATGACAAATGACCTGGCACCCGAGCTGCGCAGGAGGAAGAGAGTGGCTTGGAACGCCTTTAAGAACATCGAAGAAATAGCTAAGAGGACGAAGAACCTCTGGCTCCAGGCACATCTCTTTGATTCCACTGTTCCTCCTGCATTAACATATGCGTCAGAGACCTGGGCCCTACGCAAACAAGATGAGAACGCTATTCAGGTCTCCCAAAGAAGAATAGAAAGAGCTATGCTTGGAATATCACGTTTCACTCAAATGAGAAAAAGAATCCGGAGTTCTTCGTCAAGATCATGAACGATCGGTTTGAGGCCCTTCATGTTCCCGGAGCGAACAGATGCCATTGGGCTACACTAGCACGCGACAGGAACAAATGGAGACGTTACTGGTGCCTGCTCGAGCAAATCGACGACTAACAGGAAGTTAAGTGATTAAGTGATTAAGTGTGTTTTTTTTTTTCTGAGTAACCCACCATCTGGCCATGTCCACTGGCTCGGCCATATTTCCTGACTGCATGGTAATTTTTATGGGAGAAGATCTCATTGAGACTAAAATATAAGCATGGAACAGATTCAAAATACTATCCTCACAAAAGTAAGTAAAGTAAATTAAATTAATTAAGTACAATGAACAAATGCTGGCTTCCCTGGGAACACAGCCAAAACTTTAACCAAATACCAGGAAATTTAAGAGCCTGGCAAGCTACCCGTGATGTATTCGTTATGCCAAACAGAGTAACCACAAGTCTCAAAATGGAGATGTTACTGGGCCCGCTCGAGCAAATCGATGAACAATGGGAGGACAGGGACAGTGACAGTGACAGTGGGTAAGTTTTCTATATCTTGATTGAGAAGGATACAGTCTTGTTAGCACCCCACCCTTTTTATCCTTAGACGCTATGAAATCCCACTAGCTGTGCTCCCCAGATAAGAGGACGATGGCACCAACTCTGAGTCTTTAAAGTGAAGGGTGGGCCTGGGACGGGAACTCAGTATCATCAGCGCTGATGCACTGCTGTGACCCACCAGCACATCACAGGATTAGGTGGAATCCTGTGAGATCAGCATCTTGGGGGTGACAGTGCGGCAGTGACAGTGTGTGGAGAAGCAGGAAGGTGCAAACTAGCACCAGCAGGAAGCTCACCACTCTGTCACCCTTTTTTCCTTTTCCTGTTAGTATTACATAAAATCAGCAATGTCTGGTACTCAGTGTTCAATAAAGTCCGCAAGTAACCTGATCTGCCACGTTTCCCACAGGTATCTGCGATCTCATAAATGCCCTGGAACATGATCTCCAGGGGCTGCAGGTCAAGCAGGAATGGCCTGCCCATCTGATATAACTGGTTGCTTTTCACCTGCTTTAGCTGATGGGAAAGAGAGACAGGAAAAGGTAATCTGGAAGAATCAATCTGGTAGAGAATTGATTAAAAGTAGAGATGTGGAACAGGGTCCAGGCCCCCAATATTCCCACACAAAACTTGGAATTCGAGATTCCCTTTTTCTATTGATTACTGACTTTCTGCGTAGCCTTAGAACGAGCTGTCTTCTGGAAATGCTCCTCCAGGGGACAACCTGACACATCCCTCGTCCAGAAGGACAAGGTGCTTGTCAGAGTGTGTCACACACAGCTGACTGTTTCTCCAAGGAAGAGAACACCGTGAAACCAGAGAGGAAGCACCAGGCACGCACCCACCCACCCGCTCCTGCCCACCTGACCGACCTCACCCACATGCTGTGTGGCACTGAGGTTGTGAGTGAGTCATCAGGTCGGGTTCAGAACAGATGACAATGAGAATCTGAGAGTCTTCTTCACACCCCCACCTTTCATCTTTGCCTACGACTTCCCTTTCTCCTGACACCTGTGGAAATAAACTGTAGATCTGTACAGGCCAGAGCAATAACGGCAACTATCTATCAGGAAAACTCACACTTTGAGTTTCGGTGCTATTTTTCTCTCTCTTGTGAATAGAGAAAAATCTATTCAGTTATTTTTTGAAGTCAATAAAGTAAAATAAAGTTAATGTATTTGAAGGATGTGATGATTTTAAGCACTCAAAACACCACTGATGGATAAGATAAAAGGTGATAAGGTGTGGATTGGGGCACAAAATGTTATTATACAAATTTAAAATACTTACATATACAGAGTAGTTTTTCATGGTAGAAAATGAGAAAATTACATTTTCCAAGAAGAAAATCTTTCCTTCTAGGAAACAGGGCATTAAATAGGCCAAGAAGGGGGAAAAATAAATATAATATTTCAAAACGCATTTGGAAGATTATTTATCTTTCAAAAGTTTTCCACATGATCTTTGAATAAACTTCTTGAGAAATTCAAAATGCCTCGTATTTCAAGTTTACACAAATTCAGGAGTAGAAGATGGAGTTAAAAAAATTTCTTCAGAAGATTAGGTTTGGGCCATGGATCAAGGGTGCCCACATACCATCCCACTTAGAAGGAAGAAGTTCAAAGGCACTGAAATGTACACCAAGAAAAATCCATAAACTCAGAACTCTGGACTCACAGAGCAACATTTTAGAAACAAAACAAAATGATTAATGTTTTCCCCAACTAAGACCTACTATAAATTGGAGGAGACAAAATCATGATTATTCACTGAAACCTGCAGAACGAGAGGAAGTGCCTTATACACAGGCACCGCCAGCCAGAAGCATCTCACATGTAGCATCCGACATGCTCCCACCTGCGTGGGAACTGGAGTTGCTCCTGTCAAGGAAACAGGGTTTGCCGGGACTTCCTGCCCCAGGGGAAGTGTCTGAGCTCTGAACATGGGTCACTCAGGGTCAACCCTCATCTAGGGTATAAGGTAAAGGTAAAGGCCCTCCCGTTGATCGTCGATTTGCTCGAGCGGGCCCAGTAACGTCTCCATTGGACTGGGCTGGAGCGATAGCACAGTGGTAGGGCGTTCGCCTTACACGCGGCCAACATGGCCGACCCGAGTTCGATTCCTCTGCCCCTCTCGGAGAGCCTGGCAAGCTACCGAGAGTATTCGATATGCCAAACACATCTAGGGTATAATGGCCTGTAAACTCCCTAGGGAGCCCCTTGCACGTGGCACCATTTGGACACCATCTCAACACTGTCACAAAACACTGGCTTCTTGGTCCTCACTGTCTGGATTCACACTCAGTCCTGCTATCTGACCACTTCACTTGTACCGTGCACTGAGAACAGGCCAGGGCCATTCACAGATCAGGGTGCCAGACGCCTCACACTGCACTCCAGTCTCATGGGGCTGGCACCTCGGATCTCACCAACACTCACACTCTTTACCTCCCAAACACCTGAATCTGTGGCCTCACCAACACCCAGACCCCTACTCACCCAATCTCCTCGTCAAGCACACCCCCTGATCTCTCAGAGCAGAGCCAGACCTGGCTCCCAAAAAGTGCACTCCCGAAACCTGTGGGCCACCCTAGGGCCTGCCACACTGACCGCAAAGGGGTGTGAAGAGCCTGTGAGCAGCTCGCCACACTGGACTCCACATGACTTCCCCGCCTGTGCACAGAAAACAACAACTGCAAAAGTGCGGGAAACATTCCCTCCACTTTCCAACTAGTTAATGTAAATGTCTAGATCAAACTAAGAAGCATGTCAGGCAGATAAATCAACAGTCATGCCAGTGCTCATGCAGAAGTCCAAGAGGACATCGAGACACACCCTGGCCTCTCTAGACCTCAGAGGACACGGGATCCTCCAGATCCAGGGACCTCTAGAATCCAACCCCCCTACAACACCTGATCCAGGCGAGAGTGAAAGGACACTCACCCTCAACACAGTCCACAGGGCGACACCCAGTCAGATGCTGAGTACGTCAGATCCGCAAAGGGTGTGTATGTGCCAGCGTACATATGACTGACGCCCTGAAAGCAAACGTGGACATCACAACCAACCACTCCCATGTGCTGTGCAGTCTACATGAAGAAACAGCCTGCAAGGACACATCTGAGCTGAGGATGCACATCTGCACAGGACTGGCACTGAGGGGAAAGGGTCTGCGGCTCCCGTCCGTGATCACTGCACCAAGCAAGCAATCAAGCTGGAAGAATTCTAAAGTCACTAAGCATCGTCCAAAAGGAGCGGTCTACATATTTATTACAAGTCACCACGAGACTTATCATTTTTGCATGTAAAACAATTTCTTACGATTGATTCAGTAAGAGAGCCAGAAAGTCATACGTACATGATGGTGTTAATGCCTGAGAGCTGCTGGAACATTTGCAGGCCACACCCCACAATCAAAGCCCGGCGAGTCGGGGGGTAAGTCAGCATTCTGCAGATCACAGGCCCAGCTTTTATAGAAAAGAAAGAAAAAGAGGACACAGCTATTACTGTTTAGCTCTCACAGCAATTATTCACATTAGGATGAATCCCCCTCATTTCCATAAATCAACATGACTAGGCATTTTAAAAGAGAACATACATTTTTACAGAAATATGGGCATAAGTGATGCTTATTTTTAAAACAAACTTTGTATGCATTTCAGTTTAAATTGTAAAACACAGAAGAACACAAAAGGACTGAACTCAAAACAATTTTTGATAGTAGAAACCTACTAAGTTGTCAGAACTCATTCTTCCTTAAATACCAAGAGTTGTGTACCACTATTTATTCTTCATCTACCTTCAAGATTAATTATTAGATTTCATCTGATGTGGGACTATGCATGAAGTAAGTGGGAAAATTGCTTAAATCAAAGAAACAACACTCATTAAAAAGTTAAAGAGCAGAATTAATTCCAACGTATTTGACTAAAATAATAAAATCTATTCCAAGCCACTCAACTGAACTGAAGGCATTGGGCTACAATACTGGAGTTGTGTACCATTAACACATCTACAAAAGAGTACGTGCAGTGACTGTTCTGGGCTGTCAACAGTTCCCCAGTAGGTGGACAGGAGCCCGTGTCAAGACCATGGACAGCTCCCCTCAAGGCCAGCAGTTCTGTGTTCTACATCAGTGTTTTTCAATCTTCTACTGACTACGACCCCTTCTGGCCTTGTTTGCTTCCTGTGACACCTTTGGGATATCCTGGGGGCTTTTGGGGGCTACGAGAACCTGGTTGAGAAATGTGTTATTAGATGTGGACAGTTTCCTACATGGTGGCCGGCGACATGTATATTTTAGACCACAGACAGTTCTCCATGTGCCCTCCAGTGATCACGTCAGAACAGACTTGAGTTCTGAAGCACATACCCTGGAGTCAGAATTCTAGAACATTCCTGTAAAGCTAAGAATGTGAAGCTCACACCGTGCCAGGCTGTTCCATCCCGGGCAGCCCGGAGAGGGGCGGTAAGTTCCCCTCTCCTCCTCCCCACCTCTGCCCCAAAGAGCCAGCCCCAGCAGCCGAAAACCTCCAGAACTGCCACCCTGCTCACAGTCGCTCTCCACACGCTCAGACGAGACTCAGCCAGGAGTGAGTCTATTCCTGGACCACGCAGCTGCGCAACCTTATACCTTATACCTTATACCTCTGATATACCAAGAGCAGCACACCACATTTGATAAGGTTTAAAGTAGAAGGCAACCAATCTTAGGGGGAATCATATATACATATATGCACTGTACTGTCCTCCTGTTGTTCATCGATTTGCTCAAGTGGGCACCAGTAATATCTCCATTGTGAGACTTGCTGTTACTGTTTTTGGCATATCATGGGTAGTTTGCCAGGCTTTGTTGTGCAGGCGAGATACTCTCGGTAGCTTGCTGGGCTCTCTGAGAGGGGCGGAGGAATCAAACCTGGGTCGGCTGTGTGCAAGGCAAATGCCCTACACATATGCTATCTCTCTGGCCCATGTAGAAATACAAATATACAGATATGTTAAAAGTTGAGCATACAAGGCTCAACCTTTAACAACGTATTACTAATCTCTTATGAAAGGGCATGATGCTTATTTACTAGTTTTCAAAAAACTTGAACCATGGATACTTTTGGTTTAGATTTCCCATCAAATAAAGGGCACTGGCAGTTCCCTTATTAGATTTTTTTTTTCTCTTTACAGATAAGTTTTGGTCACAGCAGTTGCGTATCTGATTCTGCAAAATAACATTAAAGAATTTCCTTTCAGTGAAATCATAAACTTAGTTTGATTGGGCAGTAAAAATAAAAACGCAAACCAACATTAATCTTCTCTCATAAAACTAAGAGACAGGAAAAAAATCTAACAATTGTATTAATGGGTTGAGTGTAAGTGAAATAAAATTTTGTCAAAATTGAATTATATTCAAGAACTTTTTGTAAATAACATTTTATAGATATATTCACTTATTTTTTTACCTCTTTCTTTAAAACACAAATTGCATACAACATAAACCAAAACAACCACATAGGTTGGAAATGGGGTACAACACATACAGCAGAAGAGGTCAGGAACTCAGCACCCTCTGCAACCTCAAACATCATGCCAAGGTGACCCTAAGCATTGTCATCCCAAGAGGAGCAGCCTGGGGCAGGGAGACGGTGCCCCGCGTGTGCCATTTCTGCCAACACCCTGTTCTACCCCGTGCAACCACCTCCAGCCAACGGGCACCCAACAGTGAAACTCATTTACACCTGTGTAAGCCACGGGACTTGTTGGGATTATGGTGGCCACGGGAGCTCAGCTACAAATCGATCTGAAGGAAAAGGAAAGACAAGATCCGGTGATTCACAGACTAGATTCAGCACCAATCAATGAGAACACGAGAAGGTACGAGAGGAGAGTCACAGAACCTTCATTAAATCTGACAGCTGAAGTCTGTTTCCTCAGCAGACTTCCCTCGGCTGAATAAGAAACAGCACAAACACCAGCCAGACAAGCACTGCAAATGCCAAGCTTGTTGACAGACTCGAGTCGGAGTCAAGAGAAGGGCGGGCATGGAGAGCTCTGGGGTGAGGGACAGGCGGGTGAGGCACGCGTGCCTGCAGGGTCACAGGGACACAGATGCAAAGCCACGGCCTTCCCACTCCGTTCAGAGCCCACCCTGCTCCACAGTCCTGCACGCAGAGCTCCAGAGGGAGCCTGAGGGCTGACGCTGTAAGATGGAAAGGGGGAGGCAGCACTGCTCTGGGCCAGGCCCTTCCCTCCAACACGGGACCAGCGGAAACCAAGCTGTCGATCAGTCTGCGGTGACACCGAGGACGGCTCCAGACGTCCTGCTCAGGTCGCCCCTCTGTCCTTCTGGGTTTTACTGTAAGTCCAATCCTAGCATCATGGCCCCTAGAACCGCTAGGCTAGAGTGCTGAACTCTCACCTATTGGCCACGTAGCACTGTGAGTGGCCCCTGGACCTCAGGGACCCCTCCCACCCTGCCCCCCAAAGACACTTCACTAGCCGGCCCTCAAGGGTGCTCCCACAGACTCCCACTACTTTCCAGACATCACGCTCCTCCCCTAACTTCCTCTTGAGCGCATGCTTCCCAGAGCCTGGCTGGCCTGCGTCTCACCAAGAAGCATGAATTCCATTTCCTCTAGAGGACCCTGGGGTGTCGGGTCTGAGCAAACATCAGTTGGGTGCTCTCCATGGACACGGTGGCTGACAAGACTTACGGGGTAGGTAGAGAGCCAGTCTCCTGCTCTGGGTGGGGCTTAGTGCTGCTGGCTGGGCCTCTGCCTCATCGTCCTACTTCCTGAATGAGAAGTCAACAGCCAGCAACCGACAGACACTCCAGAGAAAGCGTTAAAGAACCACACAGAGGGGAAGGCGCACTGATGGAGGGGTTGATGTTGGAAGAGTCAATGCAATAAATCATGAACAACTTTATAAAAGCAAAGAAAGAACCACCAAGCGCCATGCAGCCCTTCAGTCCCCAGATCCCAGGACTGCTAAGCCCCTCCTCACAAGGGAGCCCTTGAGCACGCAGCTCTGAAAAGGCAGCTTGATCTCCTGAGGTGCGGGAGGCTGGTCTCAATTCTAAAAAGCGAGTGGGTTTCTGTAAGGAAAGGATCCCTTTACCGCCATGGCACATAGTGGGGCATTTGCCTTGCACGTGGCCGACCTGGGTTCGATTCCTCCGCCCCTCTTGGAGAGCCCGGCAAGCTACTGAGAATATCCCGCCTGCACGGCAGAGCCTGGCAAGCTCCCCGTGGCACATTTGATATGCCAAACACAGTAACAACAAGTCTCACGATGGAGACGTTACTGGGCCCGCTCGAGCAAATCGACGATCAACGGGAGGACCATGCGACAGTGCTGCAGTTTTATGCTTTTCTCTACAGACGCCATCTGGTTACTTTTAGCAAAACTGAAAAGAACAAAGAGAGAAGAGTGAAAAGGCACCAAGTTAAAAAATCCAAGAAGATTACTTTTAAAACAACTCTGGATTAGAATGGATCAGTCTTTTACTCTGCAAGAAATAACATTGAAAGCACTTATAGAATTTTTTTCACAAAGTCCTAGGACACATCCTAGTGCAGTGTCAGTGCAAGTCTCAGCTGTGTGTATTCATGTGTGTGTGCATGTGTGTGTGCGTGTGTGTATCTGTGTGTGTGCGCATGTGTGCATGTGTCTGTGCATGTGTGTGCGCGCGCTCCTGCAGGGAAGGTGAGCTGCGGCCCTCTCACCCTTCAGGTGCCGAGGGCAGTCTCAGAGCTCTCGGCCCAGGAGCAGGTCCTTCTCAGGGCCGCTATTTTATTTACTATTACTTCTATTGGTTGGGGCCAGACCAAACGGTGCTCACGAATCATGTAGTGGGGGCTGCAGCCAGGGCGCCTGCCCATGAAGCGTGCACTCCCGCCCTCTGAGCCATCTCCTCCGCCCAACACAACTTTACACGACGAGATCACACATTACACCTAGAACACAATTCACCACTGAATAAAGTTCATTAAAATAACCACTACCTCAAAAGGAAAGAAAGAAAGAGTAAACTACCCAAGAACATTTAGGAGAAATCAATACTATTTTATGAATTTTGGCATGTTATATCCCTTGGTCCATAGGTTTTATAAAGACTTTGCACATGAATGATTTGCCAACTAAGAGAAACACCTCTAGGCGACAGAGCTTCCTGCAGACTGAGCAAATATAACTCCTGCTTTCCTCTCTAGGCAGTTAGATCTACACACACAGAGCAGAGTACACTGTGTGTGTGTATGTAACAACGTACATACACATGTGTGCACACAACCGCATCAGAGAGGACATGCGGTGAGCAAGCACAGTTCAGACCCTCTCGTTACTTTCTCAAGTCCCCGCTCCTGCTCGGCAGAGGAAGGCTGAGACTCGCTGAGAGAAGATGTTTCTGTTTCCGCCTCTTACAGCCATTCTGCTGCCTTCTATATGCTGCTGATTAACGTAGAGGCACGTGCAC